ATTGGACCTTGAAGGGACTTGTCTGATGGGAAGAAAAAGATCATTGGTTACGTATTGAAGTTTCCCTGCTTGAGTCAAGAGTCAGAGTCAGAGATTCTTTGTCGTTCGCACCTCATGTGGTACATGTGGTGGAGCGAAATTATGTACACAGGGTCCCAGTTACATCCAACAATAAAATGTCTAAGAAAAACAGTAATAACATCTAAGATATGAACTAAGAAAAACATCAACTAAATATGCACTAAGCACTCATAACATAAAAACATCAAACAGCACAAACCTGAACATGAATCTGTGTGAGCAGATGAGCACGCATGAACACATTAACATTTAAACAGATCAGCAGCAACATGTGATTTTTCACAGTGATTATTCTGGTTAGAGATTCATGAGGCTAACAAGCTTCAGGGTAGAAGCTGTTCCTCAGTCTAGTGGTTCTACACTTAATTCTCCTCAACCTCCTTCCTGAGGGGAGCGGGGCAAAAAGTGTGTGTGCTGGGTGAGTGGGGTCCTTCATGATGCAGGTGGCCCTCTTCCTGCATCTAGATGTGTGGATGTCTGTGATGGTGGGGAGGCTGACTCCAACATCTTCTGTGCAGTCTTCACCACTCTCTGCAAAGCTTTCCTTTCTGGAGCTGTGCAGTCTCCGTGCCACACGTTAATGCTGGGACACAGGATGCTCTCCACTGCACACCTGTAGAAGGAGGTGAGGACTGAGCTTCTCAGACCAGCTCGCCCCAGCAGCCTGAGGAAGTAGAGTCTCTGATGAGCTTTCTTGATCAGGCTGGTGGTGTTGTTGCTCCAGCTGAGGTTGTCATTCATGTGTACGCCCAAGTACTTGTAGCTGGAGACCACTTCCACTGCAGATCCTCCTACAGTGGGGAGAACAAGTATTTGATAGACTGTTGATTTTTCAGGTTTTCCCACTTGCAAAGCTTGTAGATGACTGTAATTTTTATCATAGGTACTCTTGAACTGTGAGTGATGGAATCTAAAACAAAAATCCAGAAAAATACAATGTATGATTTTTAAATAATTAATTTCCATTTTATTGTGTGAAATAAGTATTTGATACACCAGAAAAATGAAACTTAATATTTGGTACAGAAACCTTTGTTTGCAATTACAGAGATCAGACGTTTCCTGTAGTTCTTGACCAGGTTTGCACACACTGCAGCAGGGATTTTGGCCCACTCCATACAGATCTCCTCCAGAGCCTTCAGGTTTTGGGGCTGTCGCTGGGCCACACGGACTTTAAGCTCCCTCCAAAGATTTTCTATGGGATTCAGGTCTGGAGACTGGCTAGGCCACTCCAGGACCTTAAGATGTTTCCTACGGAGCCACTCTTTAGTTGCCCTGGCTGTGTGTTTTGGGTCGTTATCATGCTGGAAGACCCAGCCACGACCCATCTTCAGTGCTCTTACTGAGGGAAGGAGGTTGTTGGCCAAAATCTCACGATACATGGCCCCATCCATCCTTCCCACAATATGGTGCAGTCGTCCTGTCCCCTTTGCAGAAAAGCATCCCCAAAGAATGATGTTTCCACCGCCATGCTTCACGGTTGGGACGGTGTTCTTGGGGTTGTACTCATCATTCTTCTTCCTCCAAACATGACGAGTGGAGTTTAAACCAAAAAGTTCTATTTTTGTCTCATCAGACCACATGACCTTCTCCCATTCCTCCTTTGGATCATTCACATGGTCATTTGCAAACTTCAGACGGGTTTTGACATGCGATGGCTTGAGGAAGGGCACCTTGCGTGCACTGCAGGATTTTAATCCTTGACGGCGTAGAGTGTTACTGATTGTTTTCTTTGAGACTGTGGTCCTAGCTCTATTCAGGTCATTGACCAGGTCCTGCCGTGTAGTTCTGGGCTCATTCCTCACTTTCCTCAAGATCAATGATGCTCCACGAGGTGAGATCTTGCATGGCGCCCCAGACCGAGGGAGATTTTCCGTTATTTTGTATTTCTTCCATTTTCTAAAAATTGCACCAACTGTTGTTGCCTTCTCACCAAGCTGCTTGCCTATTGTCCTGTAGCCCATCCCAGCCTTGTGCAGGTCTACAATTTTATCCCTGATGTCCTTACACAGCTCTCTGGTCTTGGGCATTGTGGAGATGCTGGAGTCTGATTGATTGTGTGGACAGGTGTCTTTTATACAGGTCACGAGTCCAAACAGGTGCAGTTAATACAGGTAATGATTAGAGAACAGGAGGGCTTCTTAAAGAAGAACTAACATGTCTGTGAGAGCCAAAATTCTTACTGGTTGATAGATGATCAAATACTTATTTCACACAATAAAATGGAAATTAATTATTTAAAAATCATACATTGTATTTTTCTGGATTTTTGTTTTAGATTCCATCACTCACAGTTGAAGAGTACCTATGATAAAAATTACAGTCATCTACAAGCTTTGCAAGTGGGAAAACCTGAAAAATCAACAGTCTATCAAATACTTGTTCTCCCCACTGTATGTTCAGGGTGATCTAGGTGAGTTTGTTCCTTCTGAAGTCCACAATCATCTCCTTTGTCTTCTTCACATTGATGTGAAGGTTATTCTCTTTGCACCAGCTCTCCAGATGTTCCACCTCTTGCCTGTAGCTGGACTCATTGTTTGTGATGCATCCCACCACCGCTGTATCATCTGCAAACTTTACAATATGACAGCCTGGATGGGTAGCTGCACAATCATACGTGAGCAGAGTAAACAGGAGAGGGCTCAACACACATCCCTGAGGAGAGCCAGTGCTGAGGGTTATGGTGGAGAGGAGAAGTTGTGGATCCTCACTAACTGTGGTGTGTTTGTTAAGAAGTCTAGGACCTAGTTGCAAATGGAGGGGCTTAGTCCTATTGTGAATAGTTTGTCCATCAGGGTTTGGGGGATCATGGTGTTGAAGGCAGATGTGAAGTCCACAAAGACCATATGGACGTAGGAGTCCTTTTGCTCCAGGTGGTTGAGCGCAGTGTGGACCACAGAGGAGATGGCATCCTCTGTTGATCGGTTCTCACGGTATGCATACTGATGAGGGTCCTCGTTGATGTTTATAGTTGTTTTTAATGTGAGTCATGACCAGTTTTTCAAAGCATTTAGCGACTATCGGGGTGAGGGCCACTGGCCAATAGTCATTCAGACCAGTCACTGTAGAGCTTTTTGGGACTGGGATGATGGTGGCTGTCTTCAAGCAGGTGGGAACTGTCTCCAGGGTAAGTGAGGTGTTAAAGATGTCTGCCAGCACCTCACAGAGCTGATCGGCACAGTGTTTCAACACTTTTCCGGGGATGTTGTCTGGGCCGGTTGCCTTGTGCGGATTAATCCTCTTGAAAATACTCCTTACTTCTGCTGAGGTCTCACTGAGATGCTCTTCATCCGGTGGTGAGGTGAGTCTGGTGCTGGGTGGTCTGTTTGGGTCTTCAAAGCGTGCATAGAACTTGTTGAGGGCATCAGGCAGAGATGGGTCTTTGGGGCATTGTTCACTCCTTCCTTTATAATATGTTATGCACTTAATGCCCCTCCACAAGCTCCAAGGGTCTTGTGAGATGAATTGACCCTCGATTCTCGTTTATCTTTATCTTTCACTTTTTGAACGAGTAAACGTAGAAAAAAATGGCCTGCTAATAACAACAGAGCAGGGCTGTCTTTTATTTTTTATTTTTTAAACAGTTGTGTGACTGTGACATACCTGGATGACTGAGAAAACAAACTTTGTGTTTTTGAAACCATTAGTGAAAAGGCCAGACTTCAGGGGTATCTGAGGCAGGCTTGAAACACAAGAGTCAGGGTGGCTTCTGGGTAATACCAGATGGCTAGGCCTCAGACTGACGAAGCCTCTTGGATGAGGGGCGAAACGTTTCTTTAACAAAAAAACGAAGTCCAGATGACATGATTCAACCTTTTTTGTTGTTATATAGCTGGATGACTGAGAAAACAAACTTTGTGTCTTACTGATAAAAGTTTTATTTGTCAGCGATCTGGCTTTAATCAGGTCAATCCTGGCAGGAATTGGCGGACCTGCATCCTCATTTGACATCCTGGGGGGCTGAGACGGAGGCCGTAGGTTTTGAAAATCTCCTGCATCTGTTATCAAAAACACAGAGAATGTTGGGGAGCCGTGAAAGATCAAACACCTCTCAAGGACTCACTAGAAACATGTCACTGAATCTTATCAATCAAACCTTGAGCATCAGAAAGATGATCTCTTCATTTTATCTTTACTGACTGGCCTCATCAAGACTGATCTTAATATGGAAGAAGATCATGGAAACATTGTATTATCATTAATGCCAACAAGAGGGAGTAGGTAAAGTTATGAAGTCTACAGAATAAGTAAAGTAATAGAGCGTGGTGAGTGCACAGTACACATGTTTACTTCCAATTATTTATTGCAAATGGTTCACTCAACTGTTTACTCTTAACAGTCTAGGTGTTATCAGATAATTGTTGTAATGTTCAAATAAGCTACATCCATCCATTCTTTTTTACCTGTGTCTTCCTTTTTTCGGTTTGCGGGGGTCACTGGTGCCCCTGTCCAACCATCACTGTGCATGAGGCGGGGGACACCTGGACACGAGACAACCATTCACTCTCACTCACACCTAGGAACAATTTGGAGTTACCAGTTAGCCTAACATATATGTTTTTGGTATGTGGGGGGAAACTGGAGTACCTGGAGAAAACCCATGTATGCATGGAGAGAACATGCAAACTCCACCCGGAACGGCCCCCGGCCAGGATTTGAACTGGGACGACCTTCTCACTGAGAGGTGGCAGCTCTGCCAACTACGCCACTGTGCTGCCTACTAAACTACATTTTTATAGTATTCGTTTGATTTTTGTATTTCTAGTCTTCCCCCCCCCCCCCCCTCAAAAAAAAAAAAAAAAACATTTTTAAAATAAAATTGCATCCTTCTCTTTTTTTTCTTGTAAAATATTAAAAGTTTACATGTTTGTTTTTGTTTTTTTATTGATCTGGCTGTTTTTTCTTCTTCTTTCATGCAGACTGAAATCTAAGAGTGCCACCCCATCTGGTGATTCTGCAGTATGGGATCCTCCACTTGACCTCAGTTCAGCAGCAGAGAATGTCAATGCCCTGAATCAAATGGTTACTAATGAGAACAACGAGGAACCTCTAGAGTTTCAGCCTCAGTTGAAGCTTCCTGCCAATCTCAAAGAAATTAGAGTTCGAGTCAGCTATGTCAGCTCACCCAGCAGCTTCTACGTTCAACTCTCTGATTTTGACTCTCATCTTAAAAGGTCAGTATAAAGTAAAAACAATGTTAAAAGATTTTGCTGATACCCCCAATATTATCTACAATATCTAATACCATCTGGTTTTATGCCAGTTCACAAGCATACCGATTTGTTTACTTTAAACAGTCAATACGGTAGTCCTTCATTTATTGTGGGGATTTGGTTCCGAGCTTTCCCGCCGTAAGTGAAATTCCACAAAGTAGCGACTTTTATTTTTGTATTTATATACAGACCCTTTCCAAAAAATTTGAATATCATGGAAAAGTTAATTTCAATAATTACATTCAAAAAGTTGATCTTTAATAAATGATGGATTCAGGGCCCAGAATTTAAATGATTTCAATTATTTATTTGTTTATTTTTACATAATTTGGGCTTCCAGCTCATGATACCCACGAAAACAGGAAATCAAAAAATTAGAATACTGTTGAGAAATCAGCCCAAATGTTGCAGGACATGAATGTTTTAAACTGTGTGACACTAATCATCTACTTAACTCAAAAAGCACCTGCACAGGTTTCCCCAGGTGTCAATAAATTGCTTCAGCTTGGTTCAATTGTCTCAGTTCGGTTCAACATGGTGAAGACTGCAGACATAACAACTGACCAGAAGACCATCATTGAGACCCTCCATAGGATAGGTAAGCCACAAAAGTTCATAGCTAAGGAGGCTGGCTGTTCAGAGTGCTGTGTCCAAGCATATCAATGGAAAGTCTAGTGGAAGGGCAAAATGTGGCAGGAGAAGATGCACCAGCAAAAGCGATGACCGTGGGCTTCAGAGGATTATCAAACAGAAGATCCAGAATCTGGCAGAGATCCAGAAAGAGTGGAATGAGGCGGGAGTCACAGCTTCAAAAACCACCACATTCAGATGAATCCAGAAGATGGGCTACAACTGTCAGGTTCCTTGGTCCTCTTTTCCCATGAAAGTAAAGTGTCTTTCATTCAGAAATCAAGGTCCAAGGGTTTGGAAGAAGAAGGGTGAGGAACAGAACCCATACTGCTTGAGGTCCAGTGTGAAATATCCACAGTCAGTCATGATCTGGGGTGCAATGTCCAGTGCAGGTGTTTGTAAACTCTGCTTTCTTAAATTCAAGGTCACCGCTACAGTCTACCAGAATGTTTTAGAGGACTTCATGATTCCTTCTGCTGAGGATCTGTATGGAGATGCAGATTTCATCTTCCATCAGGACCTGGCCCCTGCTCATGCCACCAGAAGCACCAAAACCTGGTTTGATGCCCATGCCACAGTGCTCGACTGGCCAGCCAACTGTCTGGACCTAAACCCCATTAAGAATCTATGATGTATTCTCAAGAGGAACATGAGGGGCACCAGACCCAACAACAAAGAAGAGCTGACAGCAAACATCAAGGAAATCTGGGCTTCCATAACTCCCAGTCAATGCCACTCACATCGAGGCAGAGATTAAGACAAAGAGATTCACAACCAAGTATTGAAGATTGACATATGGTTTAGAAAGTACCATATTTTGACTGATTTGTTGTGATCCTAATTTATTTCTTTTTTTTCTGCAAAAACTGAGAAGTGTGGACTGATGTCTTCACAGTATTCTAATTTTATTAATCCCGTTTTCGTGGATTTCATGAGCTGGAAGCACAAATTGTGTAAAAATAAACAAACACTTGAAATCGTTTAAATTGTGAGTCCTGAATTCATCATCTATTAAAGATTAACTTTTTGAATGGAATTATGGAAGTTAAACAACTTTTCCATGATATTCTAATTTTTTGGAAAGGGTCTATATATATATATATATATATATATATATATAAAGGCTTTATAAACCACTCTTGCAATGTTCTAAACTCTTAAACCTTAGTCATTTTAACAACATAGTACTGTACTATACATAGTACTTCAGTTGAATCATGACTGAATTAGCTTCTCAGTGCAGTCAAGTTCTCCAAAGTCCTGCTAATGACCTCCTTATTTGATTCAGCTGTGTGGCATCAGAGACACATCTAAAAGTTGCAGGACTCTGGCCCTCGAGGCCTGGAGTTTGACACCTGTGTTTTAGAGCATTTAGTTTAGAAACATTGTTTAGGATGTTGCAATAGTGTAGGAAGGGTATAGGTTTTATATACACTACATTGCCAAAAGTATTTGCTCACCCATCCAAATGATCAGAATCAGGTGTTCCAATAACTTCCATGGCCACAGGTGTATAAAATGAAGCACCTAAGCATGCAGACGATTTTTACAAACATTTGTGAAAGAATGGGTCGCTGTCGGGAGCTCAGTGAATTCCACCATGGAACTGATAGGATGCCACCTCTGCAACAAATCCAGTCGTGAGATCTCCTCTCCTAAATATTCCACAGTCAACTGTCAGCTGTATTATAAGAAAATGGAAGTGTTTGGGAATGACAGCAACTCGGCTTCCAAGTGGTAGGCTACGTAAACTGACGGAGCGGGGTCAGCGGATGCTGAAGCGCATAGTGCGAAGAGGTCGCCAACTTTCTGCAGAGTCAATCACTACAGACCTCCACACTTCATGTGGCCTTCAGATTAGCTCAAGAACGGTGCACGGAGAGCTTCATGGAATGGGTTTCTATTGTCGAGCAACTGCATCCAAACCATACATCACCAACTGCAATGCAAAGCATCGGATGCAGTGGTGTAAAGCACGCTGCCACTGAACTCTAGAGCAGTGGAGGCACGTTCTCTGGAGTGACGAGTCACACTTCTCCATCTGGCAATCTGATGGACGAGTCTGGGTTTGGCGGTTGCCAGGAGAACGGTACTTGTGTGACTGCAGTGTGCCAAGTGTAAAGTTTGGTGGAGGGGGGACTAATGTGTGGGGTTGTTTTTCAGGAGCTGGGCTTGGCCCTTTAATTCCAGTGAAAGGAACTCTGACTGCTTCAACATACCAAGACATTTAGGACCATTCCATGCTCCCAACTTTGTGGGAACAGTTTGGAGCTGGCCTCCTTCTTCCAACAGGACTGTGCACAAAGCAAGGTCTATAAAGACATGGTTGCAGAGTCTGATGTGGATGAACTTGACTGACCTGCACAGAGTCCTGACCTCAACACGACAGAACACCTTTGGGATGAATTAGAGTGGAGACTGAGAGCCAGGCCTTCTCATTCAACATTAGTATGTGACCTCACAAATGTGCTTCTGGAAGAATGGTCAAAAATCCCCATAAACACACTCCTAAACCTTGTGGACAGCCCTCCCAGAAGAATTGAAGCTGTTCTAGCTGCAAAGGGTGGACCAACGTCATATTGAGGATTAGGAATGGGATGTCACTTAAGCTCATATGTGAATCAAGGCTGGTGAGCGAATACTTTTGGCAAGGGAGTGCGTGTATATATATATATATATATATATATATACTAATCCAAAAAACAATGGGTACACCTAAACAAAACAATGTAACTCCAAACCAGTCACACCTTTGTGGAATCAATGTCAGCAGTTAGTTAGTAACTTACTGAGAATCAGTTTCAGCTGCTGCTGTTCAAATGAAACACAACAGGAGGAATGAGAGACAATCATCAAGACAGCCTCTATAAGAGAGTGATTCTGCAGGTGGTGACCACAGGTCATTTCTCTGTTCTCGTCCTTTCTGGTTGAACTTTTAGTCACTTTTCATTTTGTCAGTTCTGTCACACATAGAGACATCATGAGGAGTTTTTTACAGCCCACTGAAGTTGATCAAGTAGTGCAGCTAATCCAAGATGGAACATCAATGAGAGCGGTGGCAAGAAGCTCTGCTGTGTCTCTCATCAGAGTCCAGAGCATGGAATAGATACCAGGAGACAGACCAGTACACCAGGAGACATGGAGGGGGCTGTAGGAGGGCTACAACCCAGCAGCAGGACCACTACCTCGTCCTTGGTGCAAAGAGGAACAGGAGGTCCACTGCCAGGGTCCTACAGAATGACCTCCAGCAGACCAGTGATGAACATGTTTCCACTCAAACTGTCAGAAACAGACTCCATGAGGGTGGTATATTTGTGAGTGGTAAAAATATGTGAACCTCTTAATTTGAAGGTGAAATTAGATTCAGGTGTTTTCAATCAATAGGATAATGGTCAGGTGTGAGTGGGCACCCTGTTTGATTTAAAGAACAGGGATCTGTCAAAGTCTGCTCTTCACATGTTTGTGGAAGTTTATCTTGACAGGAACAAAGGAGATTTCTGAGGGCCTCAGAAAAAGAGTTGTTGATGCTCATCAGGCTGGAAAAGCTCACAAAACCATCTGTAAAGAGTTTGGACTCCACCAATCCACAGACAACTTGTATACACTTGGAGGAACTTTATGACCATGGATACCCTCCCCAGATCAGATGGAGGTTCTTGTGATCAGGTAGAGGTTATGATCAGGTGGAGGTTATTATGATCAGGTGGAGGTTATTATTTTTATATAAAGTCTTTTCTCTTTCTCCCTCCTCTGAACCTTCTCCCCTCAGTCAGCCTTTATCTTTCAGCTTCCTCCTGCCTCTGAAATAGCTGAACTCATTCTGAAAGCCAAGCCCTCGACTTGTTCTCTGAATCCTCTCCCAACAGTGCTTCTAAAATCTTGCCTTTTTTCACTTCTCCTTATCATTTCTGCCATTATTCACTCTTCTCTTTCTTCAGGAACTGTTCCAACTATTTTCAAAACTGCAGTTGTCACTCCGATCTTCAAGAAACCTGGATTGGATCCAAATATTTTCAGTAATCTTTGCCCTATTTCTAACCTTCCATTCAACTCTCAAATTCTGGAAAAAACAGTTGCTTCTCAACTCCACCTCCATTTAACCAAAAACAGTCTATACGATCAGTTCCAGTCTGGTTTCCGCCCCGGTCACAGCACAGAATCTGCTCTCCGTATAATCACTAACACTCTTCTCATGGCAGCAGATTCAATTTCTCTCCTCATCCTCCTCGATCTCAGTGTGGCGTTTGATACCATTTCACAACATCCTCTTCCACAGACTTTCATCCATTGGCATCACCCATACATCCCTCGCTTGATTTCAGTCATATCTCTCTGGCCACACTCAGTTCATCCAACTTAAATCATTCAGATCCCACTCCTGTGACTTCAGGTGTGCCCCAAGGCCCTGTCCTGGGGCCCCTTCTTTTCATCATCTACCTTCTCCCACTTGGTCCGACTCGATCATAAATCCGTGGTTGATGCAGTCAGTGTTCCCTACCATTATACAAGCGGGGTGCCCTGCTGCGTCAACACAACCAAGCTCAGCCTACTGAACCGAGCTGTGCGCACCCTCGCCCCACCCACCTGCACTGACGTAGCTCCAAGTTAGCAGCAAGCTAGCTAAAAAGCTAAAGGCAACGTCCCTCATGCTGATGGGCTCAGAAAGTGTCGGGACAAACTGCGCTCAGCTCAGATGTGTATTCATGCCTTCACTTTTACAATTTGAATATCGCGGCATGACCCACGTGAGAGTAATCCGTTGACCGCTGCGTGGTGGGATGACGTTTTTTTGCCATGAAATTAGCATATCATGATATAATTTATTTTACCGGGCTCACCAGTTTCTGAAAGCAAAGCTTCACATACATTTACCACTCACAAATATGTAATATTAATAAATAAATGACCAAGTATAATAACTGGTTTGTTCCACTTTGGAGTAAGCTGTTTGGGGGAAGAATCAGTTTTGTTGTGTGTTTCCTTGACTGATGAAGCCTTCTGGATGGAAGGTGAAACGTTTCAGCACAAAAAAAGAAACTGTGCAGATGACCTGACTGAAAAATGTTGGACCAAGTATAACATTTGTGCCTCATTTGTTTAACTGGTTTCTCTTTATTTACTTTTAGAACTTGTTTAAAAATCTGATGTTTCAGGTCGTATTGATGCAGAAATACTTCCTGTGGGCCCCCCACCTGCAGGAGGGGCGATATGAGTTGGGTGCATGGTTGCCATGGGCAGTGGCTGAAGGCGGAGGCCTTTGCGCTCTGCTCTGGAACCAATTTCCTATAGAGTCAGGACCTTTTTTCACTGTGGAGTTGCCCATAGTGAGAGGTGCCGGGCTGGTGTGCATCTATTCGTATCCCCCCAACTTGGTGCCTGTGTGTTGAAGTTTTCCCTGGTAGATGAGAGGGTAGATTCACTGCACCTTCGGGGATAGGGACGGGCTCTAATGATTGTTTGTGCCTATGGGTCAAATGGGAGTTTGGAGTATTTGGCCATCTTGAAATCCTTAGCAGGGGTGCTGAAAGGTGCTGGGGACTCTTTTATTCTGCTGGGGGACTTCAGTGCCCACGTGGGTGGTGACAGTGTGACTTTGAGGGGCGTGATTGTGGCTTTCAACCACCACTGTACATTCACCGCTCAATTCCAGTCCAAAAAAAACATTAATCTCGAAACAACATTCAGTATTCAAATCCTTCTGTGACAGGCAACATCAGTGTTCTGCTTGTCGACCCAGAGATGTCAAATGACTTAATCGAATAGTAACGCCTTTTTTATTTTGTGTTTATAAAACTGCATAATGTGCTGTAGCTGCTCAATATACCCCTGCAAGAGTTGTGTCAAGTGTAAACCTATCAACAGATTCTAATGTTCTGTTGGGTTGGGTCACATGTTTCTTATGTCTTCATAAATCCAATTGTATCAACCGAGGAGGTCATGAGTAAATGATTACAAACTCACAAATGTCTTGATTTTGCTGTTTTTTTTAGGGTGTCTGAAATGGTGAAGCAGGAGTGTGCAGGAATGGAGCTCCAAAACGTGGCATGGAAAGCAGACATGTACTGTGCTGCACACGTTAATGGAGTGTGGGAGAGAGGACAGATCTGCACTGATGTTACGTCAGGCAACAATGCAGAAGTATAAAAACAAGACTATTCATTTTTTTTTACTAAATCTGGTTACAGTTGAGCTTGAAAAAGATTTAAATTAAAGTCAGTTTCTTGTCTTTTCATTTTATTTCTACAGTAGTCCCTCGCTACTTCGCGGCTTGTTTTTTTTGCAGATTCACTATTTCACAGTTTTTCAAAATAAGACTGGACAAGACACAATTGGCTGATTGATGGATGAGCCATGGGTTGTTTATTTAAAATAAATAATTTTAAATGATTTTACACCATGTGTGCAGCCCAGAAGTGCAGGGGAAGCTCCCTCCTGCAGCTGATCAGCTGATCTCCTTCTCTGCCACACACACACGTTTCTCCTGCTGCAGCAGCTTTTTAACCCTTTACTGTCCAGATGCACCGATCAACTTTTGTATTCCAACTTAAAATTCAAAGTATGTCACATCATAAAATCATCATATCACAAAATATAAAAGTGTTAAAAGTTATTTTTAATTATTTTAGAAATTCTATGTTCAGTTGTTTCAGTGTCATTGATCAAGAAGTTCATTTGTGCTCCGTGCTGCAGAGCTGACGCTGCGTGACATCCTGTGATGTCCTGCTGCACTTCTCTTCTCTACAATTTAAATTTAAACAGTGTAACATTTTAAATAAACAATCCATGCTGCATGGATTGTTTATTTAAAATGTTACACTGTTTAAATTTAAACTGTTTATTTAAGGACAGAGATTGGGAGTAACTGGTGATGAGTGTGATTATAGCCTGACACATGTCATGACAAAGTTTACTGAACTTGAACTTGATCTGAACTTGAACTTGGACTACTGTATCTCTACTTTGCGGTTTTTCCACTAATAGCTAGGGGCAGGATACTGAACCCCCGCGATAAACGAGGGACTACTGTACATAACGAAACTTAACAAAAATGTAAAACAAATCAACAAGCTGTACTTTATTGTTCTCAAAATGGTAGTTTACAAGTAAAAGGCAAGTAAATAAAGCTGATCCAGATCAACAGGGTTTTAAAGAAAATTTCAAGGTTGCTAGTTTCTGAAACAATCATCTAAAATTATGTTAGGATCTTTGAAGATAGTTTTTTTTGTTACATGTTATTTTGGTGCTACCCTAATTACAAATTAAACTGTCTCAATAGGTGAAAAGGTGTGACCATGGCAGTATGGTGAAACTCCCTGTATGCAGCCTGCGACCACTTCCACCCTCTTTGTTTGGCTCCCTGGCACTGGAGTGTACTCTAAATGATATCAGGTGTGTAGTCAATCATAATGTTATTTACCACAGAGGTGTGGAAATTTCCCAGTTCTGAGATGTGTCTTGATGTGGCTAGTTATCTTTAAAATCTCTAAGAAGAATTGAACAAAATCTAGTCGGGTGCTCTGTAGGGATTCTTCTTTTTGAAACGTTTTGTCTTTTATCCAAAAGACTTCTTTATTCTGAGGAGCTGCTATAAACTCTAATCTTATAAATCGCACCTTCTCATTGGATCAACCAGTTTGCAGGTGACATCTAGAACTAGTTGATCACATTATTATTATTATTATTATTAATATTATTATTATTATTATTAATAAACCTTTATTTTACCAGGAAGAAATCCATTCAAATTATTAATCTCTTTTACAAGGATGTCCTGGACAATATGCAAATACAGCAACACAGTCTTAGAATATGATCAAGAAGGACCATCAGCCTAACAATGGATCATTAGCACCCTGATGGCTGTTTACTATTCACAGGGGACTGAGTGATACTAGCAATAACAGCATTGTAAGAGGGGGACAGTTGAACACGTAGGACTCCACCCCTGTTTAATGATAGATGGTTTCTTTTCACAAAGATGGCCCCAGACCGGGGTGGTGGTCCCCCTATTCAAAAAGGGGGACCATAGTGTGTTCCAACTACAGGGGGATCACGCTCTTAAGCCTCACTGGTAAGGTCTATTCGGGGGTTCTGGAGAGGAGGGTCCATCAGATAGTCGAACCTCGGATTCAGGAGGAGCAGTGCAGTTTTCGTCCTGGTCATGGAACACTGGACCAGCTCTACTCTCTCAGCAGGTTCCTGGAGGGTGCGTGGGAGTTTGCCCAACCGGTCTACATGTGCTTTGTGGACTTGGAGAAGGCGTTCGAACGCGTCCCTCGGGGAACCCTGTGGGGGGTACTCTGGGAATATGAGGTACCTGGCCCTTTGATACGGGCTGTTAGGTCACTGTGCTACCGGTGTCAGAGCCTGGTCCGCATTGCCGGCAGTAAGTCGGGCTTGTTCCCGGTGAGAGTTGGACTCCACCAAGGTTGCTCTTTGTCACCGATTCTGTTCATAACTTTTATGGACAGAATTTCTAGGCGCAGCCAAGGTGTTGAGTGGATCCATTTTGGTGGCCTTAGGATTGCGTCTCTGCTTTTTGCAGATGATGTGTTCCTGTTGGCTTCATCAGATCGTGATCTACAGCTTTCGCTGGAGCGGTTCGCAGCCGAGTGCGACGCGGCCGGGATGAGGATCAGTTCCTCCAAATCCGAGGCCATGGTCTTGAGCCGGAAAAGGGTAGAGTGCCCTCTCTGGGTCAGGGAGGTCAGTGAAGCGGGCGCTGTACAGGTCTGTCGTGGTGAAGAGAGCGCCGAGTCAAAATGCAAAGCTCTCAATTTACCGATCAATTTACGTTCCCACCCTCATCTGTGGTCATGAGCTTTGGGTTGTGACCGAAAGAACAAGATCTAGGATACAAGCGGCCAAAATTAGTTTTCTCCGCAGGGTTTCTGGGCTCTTCCTTAGAGATAGTGTGAGAAGCTCGATCATCCGGGAGAGACTCGGAGTAGAGCCGCTGCTTCTCCACATCGAGAGGAGCCAGTTGAGGTGGCTCAAGCATCTGTTTAGGATGCCTCCTGGACGCCTCCCTGGTGAGGTGTTCCAGACACGTCCCACCGGGAGGAGGCCCAGAGGACCAGAGGAAGACCCAGGACACGCTGGAGGGACTATGTTTCTCGGCTGGCCTGGGAACGCCTCGGGATTCCCCCGGAGGAGCTGGACCAAGTGGCTTGGGAGAGGGAAGTCTGGACCTCCCTTCTTAGGCTGCTACCCCCGCGACCCGACCCTGAATAAGCGGAAGAAAATGGATGGATGGATGGCCTCCTTTACTCCTCTCTCAAACCATAGTTCCTCTCTATCCAGGATGTGGTGAGCTTCATCCCTGAAAGTGTGACCGCTGGCCTGGAGATGAGTGTAAACCTCAGAGTCCTGGCCTGATGATGTTGATCTTCTGTGCTGGTCCATCCTTTTGGCCAGTGGCTGTTTAGTTTCCCCGATGTAAGACTGATCACCTCCTGACACTGAACAACATACACAATATTACTCTGTTTGTGCCGGGGGACTGGATCTTTGGGATGTACCAGTCTTTAGTGTATTTTGGGGTTTAAAAGCCACTGGGACGTTGTGTATAGAAAATAAACGTCTGTTTCTCTCATACTCCCTCAACATATGGAATGATCACTGGTCTGGGTCTGGGTTCCTCCTTTTCACTTGATGGCTGACTGGAGTCCTGTTTGGGTTTCTTCTTTCAGGAAGGCCCAGTTAGGATATCCACATTCCTCTAGGGAAAGTCTTGTGTCTGTCTTGTGTGGGATTTCTCCTTCTGCTTGGCTCTTGGGTTAGTGTGGACGCTGTCTGCTCTGTGAGTCCTTGGTGTCCTTTATCAGAAACTGAGACCTCACAGTCCAAGAAAGCCAACCTGCCATATTTTACATCTTCTCGTGTGAACTTGATGTATTTATCCACAGAGTTAATGTGATCAGTGAAATGTTGGACTTCCTGAGATTTAATTTTAACCCAGGTGTCGTCAACATACCTGAACCAATGACTTGGTGGTGTCCCTGAAAAGGACGTCAAGGCTCTCTTTTCTACCTCCTCCATGTACAGGTTGTCAACAATAGGAGAAACTGGAGACCCCATAGCACACCCATTTTTTAATTTATTTTTTTTATCAAGGTTTTTTTTATTAACTTTTTGTTTTTTTAACACAACAGAACAGAGAACTAAATATATAAATAAAAATAAAACCCTCCTGCCCCTCCCCAACCACACCAAATCAGCCACACATATATATAAATGTCTTTATACAGGTATTGACATATTTTTAACATATGACACACAAGGTGTCCCTGAACCTTTTTGCAGAACTTTCCAGGGTATAACTGATTTTTTTTTCCAGATAAATATGATGTGTCACTTCCCTTATACAATGTTCATATGCTAGGGTTTGTGGGTCCTTGCAATTAAACAAGATGTGCCTCCTGGCCAGTAGAGAGCCAGAAACAATCACATCCTTCTCGTTCTTGCTGAAGGACATATCCACAGGGGCCACCCCAAACAGTGAGAAGATTGGTGAGGGGTGCACAGTTTTGCCACATATCACAGAGAAGGCATCATCAACAGATTGCTAATTGGTACACAGTTTGGGACAAGTCCAGAATGTATGCATGTTTAGCTGGAGTTTGTTTACAATTATTACATGCAGGATCCAGGTCAGTTTTGATCTTGGGCAGCTTGTCTTTGGACCAGTGCAGCCGTTGCACCGCCTTGAATTGAATTACAGCATGTCTCAGATTGAAATGAACAAATGTTCTGAATGATCCTTCGCCAGATCGAGTCTGATATGTTCTTCCAAGTCCATTTCCCATTTCAGTTGAAGAGAGTCCAAATTACAAAACACAATCTCGTTCCACCACATGTACCACATGTGTTGCGAACGACAATAAAAAAACTCTGACTCTGAAATTGGTCTCATGATATGAACTGAGCAGTGTATAGATCTTGCTGAGGGCCCCTGTAGTATCAGACCTGCATTCCAAAATCTTAACCACAAAATGTTTAGAGGCATACAAAGGAAAACAGTCAGAGTTAGATCTCACGAAATTCATCATTTGCAGATATCTGAAAAACTGTTTTGTGAAAAACTTCTGTACCAGCTGCTCAAACCAGGCAAATTTGCTGAGTTTTGCCAAATGGGGAAATCTGTCCTGACTGCTGGCCCACCACTGCAGTGGGTTCGCCATGGTGGGAATCTGTAGTAACAAAAAAAATCACGGACCTCTTCGGCAGCAGTGAAGCAGTGTGCTGACCTCCTGGCACTCTGGGAATGTGGCCCAAAAAGTTGCACAAAATCCTCCTAGAGTCTGGCTTTTTTCCCGGTCACCAGCTCGCTGTGATTATTTTGCATATCCTCCTCCGCTGATCACGTGACACAATCACGTGACTGTGACTAGTCGACGTGAAATGAAAAATCTCGCGAGATGTCCTAGAATTGACTAGTCAACTAGTTGATTCAACCCCTAGTAGGAACACCACTTGTCAGAGCTCAAACGGAACAATATTATCATACCGCTTCCTGTTGAGGAACAAGGATTTCATTCATTTAAAGCAGTACTTTTCTCAATTATGTACTTTTACGTCCCCCCCCCTCCCAAGAAGACATAAACATTTCGTGTCCCCAAACTCTCTGCGGCAACTGTAAATAGTGTAGCTTGTCTATAAAATTGTTATAAGTACACCTCTGCATGAAATTGTTTCCTTATTAAGTCAAGGCAAATTTATTTATATGGCACATTTAAAACGGTAACTGTTATCAAAGTGCTTAACAAAAAGATCACAGCATCAAATAAAAATAAGATATAATTACAGCATCACGAGTAAAAGCATAAAAACATGAAACATAATTTTAAACAATGAAATAACTAAATCAAATCACACTGAGTTAAATGTCAAGGAATAAAACAAACAGGCATGAACACAATAAGCAACAATGAAATAATAAATCAGCTCACACTGTGTTAATGTATTACAGATGTGTCAGTGATACAGATCTGTTTTCAGGAGAGTTTTAAAAGTGGATACTGAAGTGGCCTGTCGAATGTTGATGGGGATATTGTTCCAGAATTTAGGGCCCACAACTGAAAACGCCCGATCTCCTCTGAGGGTGCATTCACACCAGCCCTGTTTAGTCCGCTTTAATCGAACTCTAGCTCGTTTTCCTAGAAAGTCCGGTTCGTTTGGGTAGGTGTGAACGCACCATCGAACTCTGTCACGGAACAAAAAGGTGAACTCTGGCCCGGGCTAAAACCTAGGTCTCGGTCCGGTAGAAGAAAACTCCAGCGCGGTTCTAGTACAGTGTGAATGTAAACAGACCGGGCCCCGCTCCGCAGGACAAACAAACACACATTTCTCTGACCTCATATGGAGCTGTCAGCTGCCTTGTGTGGAAA